AACCATTCTATGATTCTATGATTCTAATATTGTATATGTCTATAAAAAAGCAATTCAGTGTTCACCTTTTCTGAATACAATGAAAGCCAGACTGAGTTTGTGTACAGGTCTATATACATAAAATTATTTCAGTTGTTTTCTTTATATTATAAACTATGAATGATGAGAAAAAAAAAATTCTCATGTCCAGGGATCCTACTGACATTTTTAATATCAAAAGGATTTATCAAGGCAAGAACCAAGAGAAAAGTCTCAAAGTCTATATAAGCAAGAGAAGTCTTCAGAGAGTGTCACTAGTATCCAGGGGATGATGATATTTCCTGTCAGTTTTCTGTCAAAAAAACCCAACTTTCTGGCACAGTTTTCTTTTTTAATCAAACTCCTCTATGAATTTAAGTGCTGAACACAATGCAACACTTTTAATGGCATAAGGTCCACCAAGGGAATGCCTCAAAACTGTTAATTAAAGCAGTGAGTTTAGACATGAAACATAGTAGAAAGCATGTTCTTCCCAAACAAGGTACTTCCCCTAGCTTTAGAACAGATTCCTCTTCTATAAACAAATCATTTAGTCCTTTGGAAGTTCACATTCCTGCCACGGACAAGAGACCCTGCGTGGCGCCACAGGTCAAGGTCTTGTTAGGGACTGAGAACCTACGTGTTACTGCTGAAGGCACTATGGAGAAAAATGGTCTGACAGTCACAGTTAGGGATCCTATGAACTGGGCAACTTCTTGTCTTCATGACAAGGCTGTCCATAACAAGATGATTCATTTGTAGATCCTTGTTCCTGTGTGCTTACTAGTCCGTTGTAACAGTTTCTTCCTTCTGAAAAAAAATAGCATCTGGTGCGCCAGAAATCTAAGGGAGCGGAAGACAAAGATTCTTTACCCCAAAATCTTTGGAGCTTCCATCTTTGGACGTTGAGATAGTTTTCATTTGATGATTGTGCCTATTAGTTCAGTGAGAAAGATGATAAAAGGTATTGACTGCAGTAGAAGTGCTAGCAGTGCTGTACTCAGCATTGTTGAAGTATATAAGGAAGACGATGAGCTGACAGTTTAAAGAAGTGGACCATCTGTGACGTTCAGAGTCCTTTAATTAGATGCTGAAGATGCAAATAGTTCTTTTCAATTTTTAGAAAAGCAACACAGGTTTCTAAAATGCCTACGAAAGGACAGGAAACCATCTAGACTAAGGGTATCTGTGATACTGCAGATATTAGGATGTAAATATGGATTGTATGTCTCTAAAAAATGGATAGAATTTTCCTTTATATTGGATTGGTACAGTCCCAGCAAAGGAAATGTAATTCTACCACTCTAAGTGAGAAGTAAATTTGACTGATGAGCTCTATATGAACAAATTTAGATTTAGAAATCCTGGTGAGACCTAAGCATTTTCAAAATAAATTTAAAAGTTACAGTAATATGTTTGTCATTACACTGATGTCATTGATGAATAAAGTGTAGCTTTTTTACAGTTCCTTTCATCTCCAGTGATCTTTGCAAATGTTACTTATTTAATGTTCAAAATCCTCATAGATAAAGGTGAAAACTGAAGCATCAGAATGAGCAGGCTAGTCACACAACATTAATCAGTATGAATTAATATGAGTGTCTTGTACTTGATAAAACAGATATAACACTTATTTTTCTAAGGTCACAGCAGAATCATTGCAAGAATCTGAATTAGAACTGAGTTGCTCCTGGTTATTTGTATAATAACCTAAATGAACTTCCTCTCTGTTTATGAATGGATGTTTTTGGTTTATAGGATCTTCTGTTCATTCATCTCAAATACCTTCAGACACCAGCATGAGGTGTCACGGGCATTGGTGGGTTTTGCCAGTTTACACAATCCGTCTTGATTTCCATAAAGATAACTTAATTTCTCACCAAGGAGTTAGCACTTTCTTTTAATTATGGAAGTACAGTATTTAGAAACAATTCTCCAGAATTCACATAATGTGTCCTAAAATGTGTTGTCTTAAAATATAAGCAACCTTTTGTATGATTTTAAGAAAGCAATTTTTTTTTTTCTAAATCAGTTTTAATAACCTGTGTTATTGAATCAGTTTAAGTTGTAAAAGCTTCTTCCTTCTGAAAAAATTAGCAGCTGGTGTGCCAGCTAGATTTCTGTTACAGGTTACTGAAACATATGCATCAAAATATCTGTAAAGAGTAAGGCATACACCTACTATTACAGAACTACAAAATGACAAGGGCAGAATATGTTTACCTGACTTCAGGTGCTGGGATTCCTACCACAATGCAGTCCAATTGTACTTTGGTTCCTTCAGGAACTTCCCTGCTCTTCAGTTTTTGGGTAAAGCGTGGTGGTTGTCCAATAGGCTCATCAGAATATACAGATGCAGATTCTGACTCTGTTTTCAGCTCTGCACTTGTTAATTGATTGATAGATTCCAAGTTTGCTGCCTGTTGATCGTCTGTTTGTTCAAATGTTTTCTCAGCTTTGTTTTCCAAGTCTTGAGCTACTGGAATGGAAAGCCTTTCTCTGTTTTCTGATGTGCTAGATAGGCTAGAACTACCTTTTTGGGCAGGCTTATTCTTACAATCAATTTTGCTCCTGTAGTTTTTGCACGTTCGGGGTCTTATTCTTTCAGAGTTGTGAGCTTTGAAAAGTGATGAGAGCTCCTCAATAAAATCTGCTGCTTTGTTTAGGAATTCCTTTTTTGATTCTGATTCAGAAGGGAGGTGTTGTTTCTTGAGATCTTGAGTGCTCCCTTTGGAGCCCTTTGTGACATGGTCCTGACAAAAGTTTGAGTGCAGACCATTGTCTGGTGTTTTCAAAGCTGTAGACTGGGCCATTTTTTTGTGTTTTCCTGTGTTTTTCAGCTGATCTGGGGGATGCTGTGAATGTGCCTGAAGCTCGTCCTGTTTAGTTTCCAGTGGATTCTGATCAATAGCTTGTCTTGCGAGGTTTACACTTTCATCTAGCTCTTCTTGGCTTAAAAAGGCAGAGAGGTCTGGAAGGTCATCTTGGGCAGCTACCTCATCTGAATCACCAGAAGCGTTTCCATAATGGAAATTATGGGAAGATGTTTCTGATCTGCTTCTTTCACTCTTCCCTTGATGTTTAGTTTCAGCTAAATAACTTTCTCTGAGAAGTTGAGATATTGAAGTTGAGGATTCTAAACTGTCGTCTTGCATGCTGCCAACAAAAAGGACAAATAGGACCACACCTTATCAATAGCAAATTTTTTGATTGCACACAATTACAGGCTTCTAACAAGCAGAACACCACATTTTCAAAGTGCATCTGTGCGGTGAATATTAACTTGTAAGAATAGCCTTCCTGCTTCCATACATACTGCCAGATACTATTGCCTTTACCGAGTAAAATCCATCTTTTATCACTTTCTACTGTTGGTAGACTTACATAGTTAAAGCAACTGCAAGTGTGACAATTTTTATTTAGTTCCAGAGCCATTAACTGAGTTTCAGTGTCAAATCTTTATCATTGCTGATGTGTGTTTCTTAGCTAAGAAACAACCTCATCAGATAGATTAAATGCTGGATATTTCAAAGACTGAAAGTTGTGAGAGAATACCAGTACTTTTAAATTAAGAAAATTTAGCTTGAAAGACATTGAAGTGGTAAGTAAATGAATCCTCAAAAAGCATTTGGGGGATGAGAGGAGGAAGGAGAGGGGGAGAGAAGAACAAAAATATTCTATGATGACAATTATTCATTTAAAATTTTTAAAGATATTGCATTATAAGAAACAATAATGGTGCTAAGTGTACTATACCTTCTTAAATTAAGCATTAATTCTAATAAGCTATTTAAAGTAAGTAGAGAACTATGCCATTATCTGATGTAAACATCATTTGTAATACAGGCCTTTCAAAATCATTATCTTAGGTCATCCTGATTCTGAAAAAAAACAGATGAAAAGACAGTATCAGAAAGCCCATTTTTAACCTGCATGCCTGATAAGCCAAGCTAAATCATCCCTTTTGAAACTTAAGTCAGCACTTCTGCATAATGTTCTCCCTTTTATTTACACAAAGAGCCATTATGAATGTGGAGGGATTCGGCCACCCTATTAACATGCCTATCTTAAGGTGGCTTAAATCTGAAGACAAATAAGACAGATACTCTTCACAATCTTCCAGACACCTGATGCCTCACAGGTACTAAAACAAGTGCATGACTATTTACTGGATCTTTCTCTCAGAATACGCAGTGCACAGTATCTCTCTCCTGCTTCATTTATGGCCTGGCAAGTCTTGCTGTGATGGTCTAAAATATTCCTATCCTAAGGTGTCTGATTTGTCGTGCTGCAGAAGGTTCTGCTCCTGTCATGGCATCAAGAGAAGGGAACATGTATGCCCTTGCCTCAGCCATTTCCATTCATAGCCTTATGGAACAGCTTAAGTTGCCAAAGAAGAAAAGTAAAAAATGCATCTATCTGCTGTGAAAGGCCTTCTGCTCTGCTAGCGGGATAGTTGTCCCTGGAGGAGGGCTGGTGAAGAGCAAATGAGGTGGTAATATCTTGTACTGCTGCAGTATTTCTTCCTGGAATGTGAGTGACAGCCCTTCTTCCTTATTTACAAAATGGAAAGCTTGAATTTAAACTGTTCATATTCTTCTTCAGTGAATGAACATAAAGCTATCGTATTCTGATGTGCATTTTGAGACCTCAGACCCTCTGCCTGAGGCACAATTTGTTATATTGAAGTTCTTCTTCTTACGTACCTGTTTGGCATTTTAGAGTTATTGATTTTATTGTTTTGTTTTGATAATATAAAACAAGCAAAATCACTAAGACAGCAAAAGCACCCAAGCAAAACATTGATAAGTTTGTGCTTGTATGAAAAATGACAAATAAAATACCATGTAAATTGTATGCTTCTAAGCACCCAATCTAGTCCCTGCAACTGAACCAGGATCTGCATGCTAATTGAACACTTGGCATTAAATTATCTGGCACAGTGTTCAGTGAAGCTGTGGCACATAAGAGGACATTGGTTTGGGAAACCCACATGAGATAATGTTGTAAGCTGTTTCATGACTGGACAGAATATACAATATAACCTCTAAAGAGAACAAAGAGGTCTCCGGGAGGCTTAAAGTTCCCACTCTATGGATTCTACTTTTGCTTGCTCAGCTTTTACTTCTTAAACAGCTGTGCAACCTTACTGAAGCTGAACCTGTTCAAGCGGTTATGTTATCTTGTTTATGTGCTGATAGCATTCTGTGTGTTGTAAAGGTCACAGCTAAAGCTACAGTTTCAACTGTGAAGAGTTCAAGTGCATTCTAACATAAGGAGTTTACAGCCTGGAGACAAACCTCACACGTGAATGAACTGGAGACTTAGAATATAGCTGTAGCATAGGACAAGCTTGATTTAGACCTCCTCCCCATGTGCTACCTTGTATCTGCTTAAAAACAGAAGGGAAGAAGCGAAGCCATAGCCAGCTCTTTTCTCTGCACTGCGTAGCTGGCTTGGCCTGCAAAGAGTAGTGTGTGCTTCTAGTGGGATGTCATAGAAGGTGCAGTCTGTCTGAACATCTCTGGAGGGATGCAGCTCCATGCTAACCTCTCTACATGTGGCTGTGGCTAAATTATAACATCCAGTTGTGTGTCGCTTTGTGTAGCTTTAGCTGTTACAGCAGAAGGCTGTATTTTACATGGGTGGAGAGGTATGGATTTTACATGGTTGCAAAATTTAGCTTGCTACATTTCTTGGCCACTGTCTCTGAAACATTTCAGAATGGCACACCTTCATTGCGCCTCAATATCTGAAAAGGTCATCATAGAATCATAGAATGGTTTGGGTTGGAAGGGACCTTAAAGATCATCTAGTTCCAGCCCCCTGAAAAAAGATGATGCAGGGCTTTAGAGAACACTGGACACTCTAAGGAGGAAATGTAAGTAGGGAAATAATACTGTGTAATCAAAACCTGCCAAAGTCAAGTGAAGTTAAAGAACTCTTGCAATAATTTTCTTGAGAGGGTATATGAAAATCATCTGACTGTGACTATTTGGGGTTAATTTTCTTCTGTTGTACAGATATTGCTTGATTTTCTCATTTAAATGGGGTATCTGTTTCAACAGAAGTTGTTAATCACAGTGCAGCTTTTCTGCAGATAACCATAGTAAAGCAACTCTTTGTTCAGAATGGTTATCTGAGACTTTATTCTTGGACTTGTATATCTTCTATTCATCTTTTGAACAATGCATTGAAACATGAAAGAAATAATTTCTGCTAATGTAAGAAATAATTTCTGCTGATTCCTTTAAGGAGTGTTACTGCAATATGAGGAGATGCTCTCAAAGAAGATATGTTTAGATTGGCAAAATAGCTTTATAATTGTAGTTTGCAAAAAACTATAAAGAAGAAGCCACTGTCTGATATCAAAAGGAGGATAATTACATGCAAATTACCACAAAATAACAAAATCAGGGGTGCCTATACCTGGTGAAAAACTAGAATTATAGAGCAAATTAAAGTAGTCAAATCAAAACTTCCTTGTACTGATGGCTCATTTTGGCTTGCTGTAATGCAGTTGTATAAAGCACCTTCCATTCAGATGACCAGGCTAGATAGAACAGCCATACATGGAAGAGCAAAACTCACCTGTCTGTCACAGTCCTGAGTGAACATGTAGGAAGCAAATGGACAAATCTCTGGTTCAGTCCTGTCTCTGCCCCTCTGAGGGCACCTGAGCATGTGTGAATGGGAGAAAACATAGAGTTCCCCACCAAAGGAGCTGGAACTTCATTCCTTCTGCCCATTGGAGCAGAAGGGGTAGAAGGGAGCAGAGTGCTCCTTCTGGTGTTGGTAAGCTATTGATGAGAATGAATCTGATGCTAAATTCTTAATCCTTAGAGAGCCATCACTTTTCTTTAGAGCTCACCCAGGGTCAGAATATTATATCTAACTCTTCTCTGATTTCAGCATGTGTAGAAGATTACTATTTATTCTATTTTTAGTAAGAAAGAATTTGGGTACTAATCAAATGTAGAACTTCGAGGCAGTGCTTGGCTACTGAAGTTTTAAGACATTTTGAATTATGCAATATTTCTAATTAAATGGAAAAATATTGAGTTTCAGTAAATGTTGCTGTAAAATGTTAGCCTAAAATGTTAGTTTCAGTAAATGTTAGCCTTTCTATAGCCAAAAATGAAATCTAAACTCCAAAATTAAGATCTGGTCTTGAATTCAGTCTTTCTCTTGTCTAACTTTCTGTATTGTTTATACTGAGATGTGGAATTGGCCTTGATATTCCTTGAGTCTTCCCTTTATTTTTTCCTGATTGGGACTTTGGAACAAAAGTGTCTTTGTGGCTGCACAAAAACCATCCCAGAGTCTTCCAGTGTGCAGCAACACAGAATGCTGGCACTGAGTGGCAGCGTGTGGCACACCTCTGCCATATCATGGAGCTAGCAAAATGTATACAGTGACTGCAGATATACCTCTGTTGAGCAGATAACTGCAGATAACTTTGCAGATAACTCTGTTGAGTAAGCAGTAAGAAGGACAAATTGTAGTAAAAACACAGTAGACAGCAATCTTTGCTGTTGGTGAAAGCACTGATAATTTTGCAGACTGTAAAAATCTGTCTTACAATTAACCAGTATCAAGGGGAGGAAATGCAATGCTAGTCACAAATAATAGCCCTAAACTGGTGTTATTTAGGATTGAAAATGGGATGCCTGACTTCAGCAGTCAGTAGTTATTTGCTCTTGATTGGTTCATTACATCCATCACCAAACAAGTGCATTGAAGGCAACCTTTTTTGCTTTCTTGGGACATTAACAGCAGTGACCTTGGGCACCTGTTATCTTGAGAGGCATCAGAGGATGTCATGAACAAAACTGACTGCATGAACTTCAGTCTACTAATTCAGTTTCGACTAGCCAACTAATTGTACAAGCTTTTTTACTTTCCAAGAGCCTATATTCATAGCCATGTTCTCTTATTAGCCAAGTGATCTTTAAGATAAAATATTCACAAAGATAGGGTTAGTTTCCACAGTTTGTTTTGGCAGTGACTTGACCTGAATGTAAGGCAGTGACTTGACCTACATGTAAGGCAGTAAAATTGCGTCACTGTAAGCTTGCGCAGTATGACACCAGACCCTTTAATTTCCTCTTGTTTGAGGCTTGCTAGGCTTATTGCTGAGTCATCACTGAAAGAA